TGCTTGCGTGGTGTTTTTTTCCTTTGATTGATTTGCTATCGTATCTCAATGCATTTTTTGCCTCATTGTTTACCTGAATAATCTTCCATTAACTTGCACACGTCGCTTATGCTAATTGTGGTTAAGTTCGCCAACATTTTCGCTTTTTGGCATTTTCTTGAAATATATTTTGTGACATCTTTGGTTTTTCGCGGATTTGTTGCTTACCAATTTATTGGGTATGCTCATGTAGCGTAGGTCTACGTCAGCATTTTCGTACGTTTTATTCGATAACTATTTTTTGATATTCTCCTTTCAATCGATTGGCTGTTCTTTGGCATCCCCGATGTGGCTGCGCTTGATGTGCATGTTGACAAGGTGCCTACCTGACTATTATCCACTACCTCGTCCATACTGGCTCCTGTAGACAGTTGGTCGTTGCTGGAGGGGACGGGGTGCACGGTCCTTGTGGCCGTGTTAGACTCGAAGAGTGGTTCCATGCACTCAGTGTGGAGCGGACTACGGTCCAACCAACGTCTTGTGTGCGCTTGATTCCCAAATACAGCCTGCTTGTGTTTGCCTGTGAGGAAGTGTGGGTAGGCTTTGTTGATGAAACGTGGCTCCCATCCACATGCTTCCCGGTCTTATTCCTTCGGGTTTACACTGGATATGGGGTGTGTGATTTGAGCTCTGGTGGATGCAACGCAAGGCAGCCATGGTCCCTCTGTAGGCACAAGCGTCCTGTGGCTGGCCACGGTGACAGGCAAATCCGAATCCTGATGCTGCGAACCGTATACACTATCTTTCTACAGACAATATGCCATCCGATCCATGATGGAACGAATGGGGATATGATGTACAATATATGAAATAGCGAGTTTTTGTGTTTTGCGCAGGACGTTGTCAGTTTTTTGTTTCTGAGTTTCTGTTTTGGCTTAGACATAAACTAATAGCTGTTGTGGTCGAACAACGCTGTCGCCACTTTTGTCTGTTCGCGCCATAACCTTCAGCTTTTCTAATCACGGATTCCGAGTTGCGTGGGGCGCATTCTGGACGGCGGACCGGTCCGACGGGTGCTTAGCTTGAGGCTGTATTCGTCATTGATTGTCTGCTGCAGCACTATTTCCACTTGCTTCGGGGAGCACAAATAACGCTCAACGGGAAGGCGATAGTCCGTCATGCGCAATACGTGGCTGAGCCAACGCTTGCGGTGTTCGAGAATAACGGTTTGCATGCGTGGGCTATTTGCTCCAAACACACTCTCTCGGACTACTTTGTTGCTCATCTGATGCTGCCGCCGCACGCGAGCAATCCTGCTCAGACAACGATCGTACCAAACTGATAATCGTTTGATATTCCGATCTAATCGGCTAGGTTTCAACCGTATATGGAGACCATACGGAGAGAGGTAATTTATACCCTGTTCTTTTGTTTGAGACTGACATCACGATGACTCCATAGTTGTCTCAGCCTGATGTATGTTAGACGGGCCTTTGTTATCCGTTGTGAAACCTCATCCCTAAAACCGCCGCCAGCTGAGATGCAACTCCTTTGGTAAGTGAAGCAGAGGACTTGTTCCAGGACGTCACCTGCAATGATGGGGGCAGGCACGGGCATCTGCCAATTCTGTAGTAGTATTTCACTTTTACATGGTGTGAAATACATGGCATGCTTAGGCGCCTCCATCGCTATGCGGTTCAAAGTGCTCTGGACGGCTTGTTGATTGTCCTCACTCCATGCGATATCACCGGCGTAGTCTAAGACCCCGACTCCATCACCTGTGAGAGCCTTAATACCGCAGTTTTTAGGGTCTTTCATTGCTCGTTGGACGACATCAATGGCAAAATTGAAGAGGAATAGTGAAATAGTACCACCTTGGCGTATGCTTCTGGTAACAGCAAACATACTGGAAAGCGTGATGTAAGCTCCGGCTGCCCGACGTGTGGTTGTAGAGATGTTACAGGATGGCTACAAACTCGTCGGGCACACCTTTCCTTAATAGACAGTCCCACGACGCAGATCCATCTACTGAATCAAATGCCGCTCGGATGTCCAAGAGCACTACGATTGTTGGCCGTCGGTGGACGTGACCGAGTTCGCGAAGTTGGTAGATTGTGAACATTTGGTCAACACAACCTCTCCCTGGATGGAAATCCACTTGTTCCTCTCGGGAAACGCCCTCTCTAGTCGCTGAAAGCCTGTGGATTAGAGCAGACACGAAAATCCTGGGCGCGACAGTGATCAACGGAATTCCGCGGTAATTGGCTCAATCCTGGCGGAAGCCTTGTGAATCGGAACAATGACCGATTATCTCCATGCAATTGGGACTTTCTCGTCAATCCAGATTCTCTTGAACAGTGACGTGGTTTGGCTGACAAGTGCATTCCCGCTATTTTAGAATTAAACCGGGGGTAGGCTATCAGGACTGGGAGCTTTATGACACTTCAAAGATTTGATTACGCTTCGGATCTCTGTTTCGGTAAGAGGGTCTGTGGCGATAGGCCAAACACTATCCGAGGGAAACGAAGGAGTCATAGTGGGTTGTGTTGAGCAGTTAAATCGAAAAGCAAAGTTCACTGCCTAGTGTCCCAAGCGCCCGTGTACTTTGGTTATTTTCGTGCCGCCCGACTCATAAATTGTCCGACTGACAGCAACCAGTGATCTTGATGAGGCAAATTAAACGGTGGAAGTTTCCAGCCGAAGCAGCGGCTAACATCTCAGTAGCTCGTTTTGACCACCAGGATTTGACTTCAGCTGTGGAGAGATAAATCGACCAAGTTCATTGTGCTTCGCACCGGCGGGCACAGTCCGTCGACGATTTAGCAGTTCCGAGGATCTTACCTACATCCAACTTGTGGTTATGCAGTAGGTGAGTCCGCACCTGGACAAGCCGACGAACAGCATGGTTTGTTGCAAATCTGACCAGTGTTGACCAACTTCCAGAGCAGAGGATAGAGTGAGATTTTCACGAAGCCTCTGTTGATACTGCGTTTTCACCGTTGGAACCTCCAACTTGTAAGTGTTCAGTCGGGTTTTCTTGGCCCTGGGTAAGCCGTTGAAATGCACACACCAATGCATGACCAGTGTCAACGCAAATTGACCGAAATGATCTGCAATCGCTCACGCTGCCGCGCCACCTGGAACTTATGGCTATGTGATCAATTTGTGACCAGCACTGGGTTGATGATGGAGGACGTCAGGTGGCATAGTGGTGTTCAGTGTGAAGAAAGTTCGTACTGGAGAGAAAATGTTGATGCTCGGCATATAGACTGAGCATTCTCTCTCCGTTGTCAGAGCGAACATCATGATACCCATGCGGTTCACCGAAGTGACATTCACATGACAGCAGCCGACCAGTACATAAGTTGAGGTCTCCCGCGTTAACAATAATGTCTGTTTTAGGCGCCCCTAGGAGTAGCTCATGAAGGTGTTGATAGAACTGGTCCTTGAATGCATCCGAGCTGCAGTCAATGGGCGCATAGGCAGAGTTCACGCTTGTCTGCTCAGCGCCTGCTATCCTTGCAAGAGCCACGGAGCGTTGGAGCGCATAGGTGACTGTTGACCAGAATCCACTCAAGGTGGGAGGCCTGGAATCTAGGATTAAGGGCGATTCCGACACCAGCTTGCCCCGATGCAGTGGACTCAACGTTATCAGAAAGACGAAGATAAAAGCGGTGTGTGGTTGGACTGGTTACGACATCTGGTAGACTGTTGAAATCCTGGATTAGAGTTTCACTCAGGCAGCAGTCACTGATTACAAGGGTCTCCAGCGTACGTGTAAGTCCAGCTTGCTGTCCGTTCTGCGGTAATGTACGCACGTTGATGGTTGATAGTTTGAACTGCATTCCAGGTTACAGTAGCGAAGATGGCAAATTTCGGGGCTGTCATCTAGCTGTCAAGGATTGTGTGATTTAGTTGACGGACGATTAGAGAACAAGTTCATCGGCTAAGGTAGGGTTGTTCAGTTGAAGAATCAGGTAACATTGGGGTGAATGATACAAGGGAAAGGTAGGTTACTTAGTGGCGTGTGTTTGTAAGGTTGGCGTAGTAGCAGGACAGAGCGAAAGAGAGTGAGCGTAGTTGTGTGGTTTCATGGTTCATCAGTAGACGCGATACTACCCTGTTGCCTAGGTTGAAGTAGGTGGCTTGTCTTAGAGGACCACGACTCCGAGTCTTTACCTGAAGGGTCTAACCTACAACGCAGTAGGGCGAAGTAAGGGTTTTGCACCCGTTGGGAGCCGGTGACTGAACATTCAGTTCACAAACCTTTCGGATGATGAAAAGCCATACCAGCGGCCCAACACTCTCGAAATCGAAGACAGAATCCGATGCTTGCATTGCTTGCTAGTATGCAATGTCACCAAAGAAAACAAAAGGCAGTGGCTTTATTTAGTGGCGAGTCACTTCTGCCACGTCGCAGTGTTGTTAGGCAGACACTTGTGATTTTCTATAAGGAGAACGTCCTGGAACACTTCCGCCGAACCATTAACCGGAACGGGGAATGCTCGAACCGCCTAGCTGGCACCACGGAGAGGTTGTTCGGCAAGCCGGCCTCAGCGGCGTATACCTCACTTTGGATTATCTGTTGTATTCAACATATTCTATGTGGTTCTGAGTTGCAGGACGCCGCCATTTCATCTCACATGAACTCGCTATTTGTTGCGATAGTGGGCTTTCATTCGCCATCGTGTGTTGTTCATCTTTCTGGTAGCTGAATATGTTATATTTGCTTGAACCATCAATATTGCCAAGCGCATCATATATGCGATTGCTTCCTCCTTTTCAGGTTACTTGCTTCCGCCTGTACTATTATTGTCCCGTAGCTTACTCACCGCTGCACTTTAGCTGCATCGAGTTACTTCAACACAATTTCTCTCTAGCTATTTCGAACCGGTTTTGTTTGCAAACTCTTTATTACCCATGAATGCACAAGTGACGCATGGTGTTGTTCTGATTAATCACTTGGTCCTGTTTAGTCACCGACAAAATCTGAAAGGAGATACCTACGGAAACGGAGTACGATGAGAGCCAATCGGAAGGCCTTCAAACTCAGAAAAAAGGAGAGAGACCTCGAACGGATCAAGACCTTGTTGGCAGAGGGAGTTTACACGAACAAACGTTTCATGAAACAAAGTGTAGCAAATAAAGTTGCCACTGCCTTCGAGAACGGAATCAAGATATGCATTGATTGCGCATTCGAGTACTGCATGACCGTGAAGGCAATTTTGTTTATTTAATTCATTTGATGCTACCTAGGAGTGCAACAAATTATCGCAGCAGGTTTGCCGTGCCTATGGAGCCAACCGAAGGCACGCTTGCCCTGTCAGTTTGCACTTAGTTAATTTTTCACCTTCTGGGGTGCTTGCGAATATTTGCAGAGCAAAGTGTGACGGTTTCGACAAGTACCAAGTGAGTTAACAAGTACTGCACGTTACCAAACCGTGTGCTTCCAAACAACCACGCCGCCACAATAAACCAAGACTGTAGGGTCAAAACAACATCGATTCAAACTGTCTTGGTAGTTTCTGACTTGTCTTTCAGTAACTTTCATATTCATCCCTTTTCGCACGTTAATGTGCAGTTAAGTTTGTTCGTTTGTCGGAAAGTGGTTTGTTCTCCAATTTCACCGCCAGAATAATCTTTCTTTATATACTGTTTCAGATGATAACTCCACACCAATCACTGATCATGTGAATATGGATGTTTTTCCCTACTGTAATGAAAGCTTTACCATAGAACGGTTGGTATGTTTTCCGCCGGATGCTAAAACCTATTGGTCGCTTTTACCTTTGCGACTCGGTGATGTCAAGCATGTTGGCTCTTTTTCTCGGGGCCTTTGGCTGAAAGAATGAGGCTTCTGTCTTGTAACCTATAGGTCTCCGGTTCGGGCTTGCGTAGATGCAGGCAGCCTCACAGTACTTCTAGCCCGAGCGACATTGGTGGTGGTTGCGTGGCAGAGAATCAGCTGACTGCTGATGCCTTACGAACTAATCGGGGCTCTGATTGTCTTACTGTAGCTATGGGAATGATATGGTGCTGCGGCTGCTATTTCTTTCTGGCCTCATTTGAACCTTCAAATCAGCTAAACCCAGCTTATTCAATGATCTGAGATCAAACAGACTGACTTCCGATTGGGAATTGAGCCTGCGTTTACACCTCTTCTTTCGACATCACTTATTGCGTGACGTATGTGACCCTCTGTTTCACTCTTCTAAAAGTTTTTCCCTTTGTTCGCATGCGCTGAGATCAAAGAAAGTATGCTGCATCTTCGCAGACTCATATGTACGGTTATATTCTCATCGATAATTCTCCCAGTTTGGTTCCGATTACAGCTATCCATGGATTCTACTGTATGCGCACGATGATTAGCAGTTTGAGATGCGCGGCATTCTCAGTGTATGAAACGATTCACAGTGTCTAACTCGATCGATCTCCTTGGCCACGTTCTTATTGCACTCAGGGACTGTTTCACAGTATATCTGTTTTATCGGCTTCACTCCATCTATCTGTTCGTTTTTCCTACTCTTGATAGGTTATTTCGACACAGGTTACGTCCGACGCTTATCAGGTGTTTGTCTGCCACCGTAGTATTATACCGATAGGCAGGTTGGTCGCGTACAAGAATGTGACGGTTTTTTTTTTCATGAAATGCTTCGTCGTCTCGGTGATGTCGATTTACGGTTGCATACCATTTTTAGTGCTTTTGACATTCGCCTCCATGACGTCACTTGTCATTGAGACATTCGTGCAACCCCATTCGTTACAACCCCAAGCAGTTTAACATAATGGAGGTTTCCAGGTAATGTGTTATTACAATATATATTATATTCGCGATCTTACAGCCGCAGTTGATCCAGTAGGGCAACTGATGAAAAGAACTACCTTTCCACCAGGAAACTGTTCAATGGAAGGCTTTAAGCAAGTTAAAAACAAATGCCACCTATTTGGACCCGTTTCTCGATGATTATTTTGATTATTCGTCTCCTACATGATGCTGAGCACGTTTGTTGCTTGCCGCCTCACTCTTGCCACGATTGAGGCCCAGGTGAATAACTGAATTTGAAATAACACAATCAAAATACTTACCTTTAGCTACTCCAATAAAGTACACCGATCGTTCTATTTGTCTGAGACCTTGAGAACACTTGTTTGCCTTGTGGTCTTTTACTATGGCCGATTAGGTGGAGATTTTCTTACACACTCATTGTTCTCTAATAATGACGGCTTCTTTCGTGAATGGCATGTTCCGTCCTCAGCCTACCATCATGAATGTTACGACATACTCACTTTTCATTTACAGCTTGGGAGGCACACGGAACCTGCGGGTAAAGTATTCGGTGATTACAAAGAAATCATTTATCTTTCGCCTGATGCCCAGGATCCGCTCCTTTCCCTATCCGAAGACACAGTATACGTGATCGGAGGTATGGTAGACGAGCATCTGATGAAGGTAAGCTAACCACGTCATTGCTGCATATGAAGTATCGGAAGTGTTTATAACGGGACTGATAATTCAAGTAGACCTGGATTCCATTGGTCTGGTGAAATCCTCCAGATGTAGCGGCTTCCGGTGCTTATGTGATAGACATCATACTTTACGGCACTTCACCAGTATGGGCAGTGGACATCGGATGCATATCTAACAACAATACAGCGAGCAATTTTTTCGCGATACACTATCTTTTCGCTGCATTGTCGATGACTTATCTGTTCCAGCTGTTTGTATCGCAGTCATCATCATCAATACAGGTTAGTTGAGGGCGAGAAACGTCAGCTAATGTGCCGCAATACAACAAAGGTCAGCAGCTAAACATTATAATACTACAATTCAAAAAGCAAGTAGTATAATGTTAAATATCATATTATGCACTTGGTATGAGATCGTAATTTGAGGAGAAATCCAAAAGAGAGGGAGACGAACAAAGAAACTCCCAACGCAAACGCCATTGGGACCGGCTCTTCGCCATATCAGCAAGTGTGTCCAGCCAAACATGTTCATCGTCTTTCGGACCCGAACTAGGGAGCCGAGAGGCTCTAACGGAGGCCAAGTTCGAAGTGAAGATCCTCATCATGCCTCTCATTCATTACTCAAGCGTCGTCCCTACCAAACATGAGCTAAGCTGTTATATGTATATATATATAAGATATAAATAAATATATATATCACAATCTGTGTACAGATATTGTGCCATCGGAACCATGGCGGAATAGAAAACCAGGGTTAGATTAAATGAATAAAGAAAACCTATTTTTTGTCCATTTTTCACTCGTAGTTTTTGCGTTTTATTACGTTTTTTTATTAAGGAGAGGAGGGAAGGGGATGATCCATCTATGGTTCATCAGTGAGCGAGATACTACCCAGTTGCCCAGGCCGAAATAGAGGGTTGTCTTAGGAGGCACCACCCCGAGCCTTTGATCCAGGATCTAACTTACAAGGCAGCAGGACGATATGAGAGTATCGCAACCCGTTGGGAGCCGGTGACCAAACAACTAGCTTTTAGAACCGCATAAGACCAGGGGCCCAACACACTCTTGGCTAAGCTGTGAAGGCAGCGACGGTCTAAAGTAGCTTACCTTGTTATGTCTATCAACCTAACGGGCTATGTTTCACAACCGTATAGGAGGGTTGAACGGACGGCTGAATTATAAACTGCACTTCAATGCGAGAGTGGCGTCGCGTCGGCACCACTCTTGGCGGAGATCGACAAAAACGCCTCCAGCTTTTACTATGCGATTCATGACCTAAGCTTCGATTTCACGTGCGTAGGTACTTGCATTCCTGAACTACATCTAGCTGATCACCACTAAGAGTCAGCGCAGTAGTGCGCCCCTGCTAACCTTGGAGAACGACTTTGCGTTTCGGGGGAGCAAAATATGGCCCAAAACGATTGCAGTCAGTGCTAATCTGCCCAGTACTGCTTGGCACGTTCGAACGCTGTTACTTATGAGGACAATATCGTCAGTATACTGCAAGTCAAGAAGTCGCTCACCAAAAAGCAGTCCCACACTTTGTAGGTAGTGTCCAGCTGACACTGTTCTCATGCCTTGGTAATGTCGAAGTTAAAAAGGACAGGTGAAAACGCGCAACCTTATCTCACATCGCTGATGGTATTCAAGATCGGCGACAGTTTGCCATAAGTCCTCACTGCCCGAACTATGCGCGTACATTGCTCTGATAATGTTCACATATTTATTGGGCACACCTTTCCTTTGGGACTCCAAAGGACACATTGATCCACCTAACCGAAGTCACTTTTATCTCGAGAAACACGATAATGCTGGGTCGCCAAAATTGGCGATGCTTCAAAAATTGACGTAAATATGTGGTCGATGCAGCCTCGATTTCGACGCAACCCGGCTTACTCCTTGCGAATCCGGCTTTCATGAGTACCAGTCAGTCTGTAGTGAACGACAGATGCAAGAAATTTAGATGTAATTGAGATCAGACTGACCTCTCTATGATTGCCGCATTCCGAACGGGAGCCTCCCTTAAAAATTGGACTATGACGGAGCGGTTCCAATCAGTTGGAACAGTGTCCTACTCCCAGATTTTCACTAAAAAGTCGTGTTAATCATCTACAAGAGCAGCACCCCGAATTTGATGAGGGCTGCGTGAAGTCTGTTTTCCCATACGGCCTTGATCATTTTCAACGGTCTGATCTCACTTCTGACTTCTATGCATGAGGGCAGATACAAAGAGGGCAATCAATGCTCGAAAAGTAAGTGAACTCAGATTGGTTAAACTACTTTGCAAATTGTTCGGTCCAACCCTCTATGCATGTTGACAAGCTGTGGATCGCTCATGCACCCTCGTCACGTATGGTCTCGCTAACACCAGGTCCCCTGATGCCCCTTTCTCGTACCAGACGGAATAACTTACCATGGTTAAAAACGGAAGCGGCTGTTTACATCTCTGATGCATGATGAGACCACTAGGACTCGCGGTCTCTCTTTAGGCTAGCGAGCAGTTGTCCTGAGAATTTTGCGAGTCTCCTTGTATTCGGTTCTAACGGGAATACGTCGGCAAGCATCCATAAGTTCCAGAGACTGTTTAAAGACCCGATGTCCAGGATGGAAATTTGATTTGCCACATGAACATAGTAACATTTGACGAATATGCGACCAGTGATCTTCAACGGTGTTTAGTGGACGCTTACTTAGCCTGGATGCCAGTGTACTTTGATACCCATTCAGAACACCTGGGTTCGCCATTTGGCCGGTGTGTACGCAGTCATCACGACCTTGCGGACGTAAGCCGAAAGGCACCCAAAGCTCGGCACACACAAGAGCGTGATCGGAGTTCACGCTGGTGCTCTAAATCGGGCGACAGTTTTGGACGCAGCCTGTCCACCGGTAACTGATCGCGAAACGAAGAATCAGTCACAAACTGTGCTAACAACACAGCACAACAATTGGGTCTGTATTAAAGGTCATTGTCATAGGCACTGTTCGGAGCTTAGCGCTTGTTCTATCGTCGGTAATCTACACAACGGAACGGTATATCCGATGAATTTGCTGCATAATCAACCATCGGCACCAAATAGCAACCTCATGTGGAATTGCTTTCATCACTGTTGATTTGGTAAAGTCTAAAAATTACCACCTGAAATTTCCCGTTTACACTTCGATGAGCTGACAAACTCGCTCCAGCCTGTGTTCATTCGCTGGCATACGCATATATCTCTGTACGAAAGATTTCTGTGAGGCTGAAAGCGTTTTGTTTCCTAACTAAATTGATTGAAATTGGCCGAGGAAAGTTGACATGTGAATGCAAGACTAGTGTTGTTGAGATTGAGCTCATGTGCTGAATGCTGTAGATTCAGCACACCTTCGTTAATCTCTATCTACTGCACTGGCTGAGATTTTAGTCCAACATTTTTCGATTGAGAGACATGCAGGGGTTGCATCGAATTCACTGCAACTGCTCTTAGGTAACTAGCCACTAAACATCCGGTAGTGCAATATAAGCCTTGCCACATCGGAACCATATCAGCAATCCAGATCAAAGGAAGTGATGTACGACCGTAGTTCAGTTTTTCTTATGACGATGATACGGAAGATTATATATATATATATATATATATATATATATATATATATATATATATATATATATATATACATATATATATATATATATATATATAGCCATGGGAGACAACAGGTTTACGGATTATAAGCTCGCAGCTCGATTGGTGTAGAGCACGAGCGCCACGCATTGTCTCTGACGGTGGGAGGACACCTCCGGGTGTTCAATGGTTTGCTACTGCCTGCCTCAAGCCAGGCAGCCCCTGGTCAAATTGGTGCAAACCCCCCAAAACCCACCTGCGTGTGGCCGTGGTCGCAGGTGTATACTATTACGGTCGCAGAACATGTAAATCGTTCCAGTACCTCCAAGACTGCGTGTGACGGCCGTCAAGCAAATCCCAATCTCTCTCTGCAATCACATTCCCGATCTGCATCTGCTCTTCACTGACTTATGGATCGGGCTATTGAGCCAAAGGCTCCGGGTGGAGTCCCTCAAGCAAACCTCCGAAGCACAACGAGCACCTCGCTTGTGATTGCCCACCAATGCAATCGTATGCCTGCGCGCAAAGCACTCAGCATCGGATGCTGGAACGTGCGCACACTACTGGACCGCAACTCCATCGAGCGCCCGAAGCGACGCACTGCACTGGTCGCGATGGAGATGGCGCGCTACAACATCGAAATTGCGGCGCTCAGTGAAACCCGGCTCGCTGAGCAAGGTAAGTTGCATGTAGCAGGTGCTGGCTACACATTCTACTGGGTGGGCAACGCCGCCTCAGCACCACATGATCATGGGGTCGGGTTTGCAATATCCGATCGCCTCCATGGTCAGCTCGTGGGTTAAGCAACAGGTATCAGCGCGCGACTGATGACTGTTCGCCTACGACTCGGAAGAGATAAGTTTGACACCTTTATAAGCACGTACGGCCCGACCATGTGTTATCCTGATGACACGCGTGATCAATTATACACGCAAGTAACCTTCGTGATACGGTCTTTGCCGAGTAGCGACCGACTATTTCTGCTGGGTGATTTCAACGCGCGCGTTGGGCGTGATGCATCGGTGTGGACAAATGTTATCGGTTCGCATGGCATTGGTTCAGCGAATGCGAACGGTGAGAGGCTGCTCTCACTGTGTGCCACTCACGGCCTGACGATCATAAACACTCGGTTTACACTGAGTGTGAGTGATATGGCAACTTGGACGCACCCACGGAGTGGTCACGCTCACCTGCTCGACTATGTCATCGTACGTCAGCGTGATATGCGTGAAGTGCGCATGACACGTGTACTGCGTGGAGCTGAGTGTGGCACTGATCACAAATTGGTGCGCACCAAACTGTATATATATTTTCGTAAATCTATGTATTGCACTCCCGCCGTGAACCCGCGCAAATTTAACATTCTCTCCCTCAGTACTGT